CCCTGCTCAGTTTTGGCCCTGAGGGCCAAGTCCCTGAAGAGGGAGGCCGCATCGTCCGTCGACCTCCCCCTCCTGAAACCATACTGGCCCTCGGCCAGTCCGCCGACGTCGGCCAGGTGGGCTTCGATCCGGGTGACGAGCAGCCGCTCGAGGATCTTCCCCAAGTCGTCCAACATGCAAAGCGGTCGGTACGACGAGGGGAGACCCTCGGGCTTGTCACCCTTTCTCAGAAGTACCAGCCTGGCCTTCTTCCATTTCGTGGGGAATTCACCCTCCGAGAGGCAGAGGTTCGCGACGGCGCGTATCCAATCCGGGGCGAGGTCGTGGACCAACCCCCACACCCGGTTTGGAATCCCGTCGGGGCCGGGAGCTGTGTTCCAGCCTCGCACACGCTCCACCGTGTCAGCTACTTCTTGGCTGGTGAATTCCACCACCGACACGTCGTCCCCAAACGCCGGGGGAGGCAGGGGCAGATGTGTCGGAAAGAGCGTGTCTACCGCCCTTTCCAGCACTTCCGCCTCCAGCTGACCCGAAGCCGGTGGACCGCGGAGCTTCCGCATTACGACCCGATAGGGTTTCCCCCACGGGTCGTGATCCACCGACTTTACGAGTTCGGCCCAGCATTTCGCTTTGGCCCGCCTGATGGCGAGCTTCAGCTCCTTACGGGCCGACCTCAGCGCCTCCCTCGGGTCCGGAGATTCCAGGTCCCGCGGCCAACGGTTGGAGCGCGTCATAGTCCTCCTGACCCTGACGCACTCCTCACGCCTGACCGCCACCTCGGCGTTCCACCAGTGGACTGGCGGTCCGCGAGTCGACGGCGGTCGTTTGGCCGGGAGGGCGAAGTCGCAGGCTGCGACCACCCTCCGGTCCAACTCTTCCGCCGCTTCGCTCGCGGAGACGCGCCGGTCCGGTACCGCGGGCGCCGACCATTGAGCGAGCAGTAAGCCCGTCTCAAAAGCGTCGACGTCCGTGGTAGGTCCGACTCGCCAGCCCACTCGCCCACCCCGAGACGGCACGCGGGGCACGGCTCGAGGGGGACGGCCGCCATCGCCGCACTCGTACATGATGTACCGGTGGTCGCTGAGGTTTTCCCTGTACGGGAGAACCGACCAGCCGGTCACGTGCGGGTGCAGCGACGGAGACACCAGCGTGACGTCCACCACCGAGCTCGAGGAGTGACCCTCGAACGTCGGGGTGGATCCCCTGTTGGCCGACACCAGCCCGAGGACCGACATCAAGTCCAACAGTTCTTCGCCACGCTGATTCGTGTCCGCCGACCCCAAGACCGGGGAGTGAGCGTTAAAATCCCCGGCCACGAGCTCCCCGCGGCCGCCCGAGCCTCCTCGCCCGTAGGTAGGAGGACACGGACTCGAGGAGTCCGGCGATCGGCAAGCTGGGCGGCGCGTAGCAGCTCAAGACGTCCATGCCGTCTATCCTCGCCACTACGTAACCGTCGCCCGACTCGA